TGCCGTCTAGGTCTCAAGAACTGTTCGATCAAACACGTCACGAACCATTCTTAGAGGAATTCGATTTTCCCCCAATGGGAGATATATAACAAATGACAAACAAAAGTTAGCGTCGTTTAAACTTTTTCTCAATAAAAATAAGAAAGAAAATTAAAATTGATAAGATTGATTGATTGATTATTGTTGATTTACGCCAAGTCGGCAATATTTCAGCCATATTTTGGTGTTGATAAGAATGTTTAGCTACTAATAAAAAACTGTGATGGTTTGAAACTTTAATTGGGTAAAGAAATAAACATTACTATATCTTACATAAACCACAATGTGAATGAATAAACCGTGTCATTGTATTTTAGATTTTTTTAATTCAAAAATTTCAGCTGTTAAAATTCATGTTGAAATAAAATTATGCTATTATTTTATGGGAAATTATAATTCCACCAGATGTGTATGTGAAATATGAATTAATGCAATTGTAATGGGGACAACGTTTGATTTAACCATGTCCAAATGATCATGGATTTTACGCCTATTTGCCAAGTTTGAACTTAAAACGATTCTCCAATTCAAAGTTATGGGCCACATGCAAAAGTTTCGCGCTTCAAATCCCTAAGACCTTTGACTTTCATCAAATGATATTTAATTGGTCAAGGGTAGTGTCACAATAAACAACTTGTATTTCGTAGTTACTTCAAATGTTTTATTGCGAGGACAAAGAGGCGGTGCACATAGCAATATTTCCCTGATATGTGTATTCTAGATGGCATAGAAAAACCCTATGGTTTCAAAAGTGTTTAAAAAGCATGAATTCGATGATCTTTTTGCATTAATTTTCAAGGGAAAAATAAATGTCAGTTTGCTTACATTTAAGGCAATAATAGCATAAGCAACGAATTCAATTTAATTCTACTGTGAATGGCGATTTCATATAAAAATAATTAAAATATTCAAATTAGATTACCATGGCTGTGTGTTTACTCAAACACAGAAAGATTTTTATTGCTCAATAAATTTGTATAAATTTTTTTTCTCAAGAACCACTGCATCAGAAAAGATAAAACTTGTGTGCAATTAGCTTCCCAATATAGTGCAGATTGATAACTGTTCAAATTATCCCCTGGGGCTAGGTTGTGGTCACAATAGGGGGACAAAGTTTAACACAGAAAAATATAGGGAAAATCATTAAAATGTATATTCTATTCAAGAACAGTAGGTCCATAATTAGTCATATGAATATGAACGCATCCTCTGGAAGTGCAGACTCAAATTTGTTTAAATAACAATCCCCGGGGTAGGGTGGGCCACAGTAGGGAATAAAAGTTTTACATGCTGATGTTTTAAAGAAAAAATCTTTTATAATATATCTTCTCCTCATGAACAGCAGGTCTGTAATGAGTCATATTAAGGAAGTCCGATACTCAGGTTCTCAAAATCAGCACTTGAGTTTTTGAAAATACTCACAAAAATGTCACCGAAATCGCAAAGTAATACGTATACGAGGGTTGTTCGGAAAGTTCGTGGACTTCTGTCATATCTTTTTTATTTAACGTCATATGTTATCCAAATTTGGTAGAAATATTTTAACAATAAATTTAAATGATTTGTATTAATTTTTTCAAAAATATCATGATTTATTTAAAACTTATCCATAATTAAAAACTACAAAAATCGGATCGCGGCGCAGGTCAAACGTTAGTAATTTACAAACAATACACTGAATAATGTCTGTAGTCATCTTCTCTGTAAAATGGAGCAAAAAACGAAAAAATCCTAGGCGGTTAAATTAAGAACTGTTACATCGATTCGTATTCCAAATTATGGCTTAATATTTTGCTTCGGTAAAAAAAAAAATCAATTTGAGAAGATAGGTAGTCCTCATTGAAAACGACAAGATATTGCAGATAACGATGCAGTTTTGTGTTATACTCGGGGAAAATCCTGAATAAACGCTAAAAATGTTGGAGGAATCAGGTAATATGGGACGTCATGGAAAGACGTAGGCGCTTCAGAGTTGCTGATCTTGTGAAAGCACAGTTAAGCAGTAAAAGAAATTAAACATTAACAAAGGAAATTATAAAATGAGAACAATTGTTAGAAAAATAAATGTCAGGTGATTGAAAAAAGTTTTTAATACGTGAGTATTGGACTATACTTTGTGAATGTATAGGGATATAATTTTTAAGAAACTCTTGACGCTATGTTTTTGACGTTACATTGCTTTTAAGTGTGCGCCGTACGATGGCCGATAACGGCCGCCACATCACAACTTAACTTACTGCCTTGTGTACATGTAAAATTGAATAATTTAGCACAGACATAATACACAAAAACCTTTGTTGGTAAATGTACATGTACAAATTGACAAATTCTACTATGTACAAAATGCACAGAAACCTTTGTTGTTTTTTGTGCAGAGAAATTGTCAAATTGACGAAAATGACACTTTCTAACAAAGAACTTTCTGATTGACAAATTTATGTTGATTTTGAACTTTGATAAGATAATTGAAATCATGTGCAATTCCAAGCCGTAAACTTTCCAAGCGCAATTCCCACACAATCCTGATAGATGCTGAACGAGGGAATCATTCCAAATGTAAGTAAAAAATATCGAGTTAAATATTATGTGAAATTCTAAATAACAAAAATACGAAAATATTGTTTACATCGGAATGTACAAATTGAAACAAGTCTTCAAAGAAACTATTCGTCATTGATTAAAGAAAAATTTAAATCTATAAAAATTAATCTGATGCCAATATGTTTTTTAAAAATATTTTTTTAAAGAATTAAGCTATTGTTTAATATTGTATATTACCCTGGAGTATTTATCATACTGCAGGTCACATATACCAATTCGAAACTTAGATGATGAAGCTGGCACTGTTATATATTTTCCTGTACCTTGTGACAGTTCTCTGACGCTCCATGATTTGCGTATGTTTACCGTGTATTGTTTTTGATATCTTTTTAGATATGATTAGTTTAATTTTAAAGAAAATCTTATCAAAATTATGAATTTTATAGGTAGTGCTTTTCCCAATGCATCATCCTTGCGATATCAAAATGAAGACGATGATCGACAACATCATATACTCTGTAGAGAAAACGTTTTTGTTGAGCCAGATGGAGGCTGGCAAGTTCCTGGTCGTATTTATCTTGTTGTAAACCTTGTAACCGGTGAGTATTTGTATATATTGAATATGCGCACGTGCATGTTTGGTACGTTGACCATGCTTACTCACAATTATATTTGTCCACCAAAAACTGTTTACTGCAGTAAAAATGAAACACTATCTAAGGTACAATTAATAAATGCTCTATTTAAACAGAGAGTTTAATTCGAATTAAAATAAATACTAAGAATAAGTTGATGCAGAAACTCCGAAAATGAAACGCAAATTACCAAAATACTGGCACGTCTCTAAAAAAGGTAATGATAGCGACGCAATATTTCTCTGAATTATCTTTTGTTTCAAATATATAGACAGAATAAGAATCTTAAAGTGAAAATTTGTAATTGTGAGTAGATATGACTAAAATTATATTTTACTTTAGTAATTAGTAATAATACTTTAATTGGAGTAAAATAATTTGTGAGTTAGAACTGTAACACACGAAACTAGAAACAAGAATCGATAAAAAAAAAAAAATAAATAACCAGTGACCTGAAAATGTCAGCCACGGGGCAGATTTTGCCTTGATTTAATTTTGCTATAGACAAAAGATGCTGAGTGAAATTAAAACATCTAACTTAGGTCAGATTTATCAGTGATCTGACACACTATATATATATATATATATATATATATATATATATATATATATATATATATATATATATATATATATATATAGAAAGGGAAAGCTATTATGACATTGACATTACATTTCATTTGTAATATTACCAGAATTACTAATTCACAGATTGTTTTCGACATTATGATACAGTAGTAAAAAGCTGTAATAGTTGGTTCTTTTTTGACAGAGATCTAACATAGAAATTTGGACCGTTATATAGTATCCCAGTGGAAATATTTACATTCAATTAGTTTATCAATGAAGATATCTTTTGATGACAAATTTATTATTATTATAAGCAAGAAATTGAGTAAGCATTTCTTTCAGCTAAACGTATCTGTAAATTCTATTTAAATTATAGAGTTTTTCTGTGTGAGATAGTTGTGCGGGTCGCTGATAAATCCGACCTATGTTAGATGTTTTCATTCCATTTTGCATCTGCCGTCTAACAAAATGAAGTCACGAGCACAAGCTGCCCCCTTTGTTGACATTTTTTAATGCTGAATTTCATTCCATTGTTTCTCGTTTTACACATACCCCAAAGTATATTTACTTCTGTAGAGGAGTAAATGATTTTTACTGGAGTAAAATTAACTTTATTGAGATAAAAATAGCATTGGACAATGTTTTCATTTTCATTGCAGTGGAAATAATTCTAGTGGAGTAAAAATATGTAATTGTGAGTAGCACGTGAGGCATATTATAAATGAAGTGTTCGCCAATTCATTTACCCGGTGCGCATGCCGATTTGTGAAAAAAAATATACAAAATACGTAAAGGAATTTTGAACACATCACAAACGGAAAATGATATTTAAAAAATGTATAAAATGTAGTTTTGTTAAGAAAAAGTGAAGATCGGCATTTTCAACATTGCATTTCATTTTTTTTTTTACCACGTCGATGGAATTATAACTTTGAAAACAGTATAAATAATTCAGGCATTTAATCGTTTTACATTTTAGGTCAAAACTCACGATTTGGTATATTCGAGTCATACAGAAAGCAAATAGCAGCGAAAAGTACACCAGAACAAAACCCGCTAGGATCTGAGAAAAATTCAAAGAAAAAAAAGAACAAAATGGATTCACTACGGTTTGTAATTAACCAGATAACAACAGATTTCATGACATAAATTCATGTATTAATTATGTAAATATTTCCCTCTTTAATAGACTGCAGATATACAACTTTCTTTCTTTCAGGTTTATGTTGGTAATGGCCATTTCAAAAACGGAGTATTTCTTAAAATCACATCCTTAAGCCTCTCGGGGTGTGGCGGGTTAGTGTCAGTTGGCCCATTTCCTAAAACCAGCAATGTTTCAAAAGAAATAAGGGATGCTGCATTCGAGAAGTTTGTAGCACAGAATCGCACATTTAGGGAAAAACATAAAAGCCCCAACAATTTCGTTCTTGTGTATCCAGACGGAACCTTGGTTGACAAATTACCTGGGTCACAAGAAGACTTTTCACTGCTGGGGTATAGGAACAGTATAGATCCCCACAAACGATTTGATCGGCTCAGACTTTATCTGTGTCGTAAAGGTAAGTGTGAACTTCACTCCTGTAGTGATATTCATTTAACCTGTCAACAATTTTGATATTTCACACAATCTCATGGTCATAGAAGATAGTGTATATATAGGTGTATTTCAGATGATTACCGTATGAACCAACCCTATGTAGTGGTGACAGACTCAAGTTCGTCAGATGAATCATTACCCACTCTTTATAGTTCCACTCCTGTTAGTTCCACCCCTGTCAGCAGCCAGGGTAATGACACTTTACAACTGACAGTCGAAGTGGTTTTTTACTTCCGAGGAGAAACTTTCTCCGAGAATTTTCCAAATAATTCTTCTATTGAAGTAAGTGTATTGTTTTATTCATTTTAACTCATCCATCTATGAACATATGCATGTATACATAAATTTAATGCATCATGTTCTGTATTGTCAGCATCTTGTCAACTTTGCGGAGGGTAAATTAAATTTGAAGCCTATAAAACTAAAATCAAGAGAAAATGGGAAACAATTTGAAGGTGCAGAGAGATTAATGGATTTGATGCCAGAAAATAGTGAAGGTCACCAAATTGAAGTGGACGTGGAACCTTTACACAGACGGTATATCACTTAAATAAAATAGGGGTCTAACAATTAAAACATTCCCATTCATTTCGATACTTAACACAGATCATGGGGCTCGTGTTTTCTGTTCTAAGTTATGTCCTAAGGTAATGTTAAAAAAATTATAAACAGATACAGTAATTTTACATGTGCATAACATGATAAATATTTAAAAAGATTTTTTTTAGTCTGGGTGGTGATAGAATGGATGTACCTGTATCTGATGAGGAAACGCTGAATCAGCCAATTCCCGCGACAGCAGAGAGTGACGAATGTACAGTAGCGTCAGCACTAGCGGAAAAAACATTACAGTGAGTAAAATCAAACTTTTAAATGTATTGAATAAGTATTATTGTGTTGAAAGTTGTTTAGTTTCATTTCATTCATTTTCAGAAGGGTACAGACTTCAGAACCCATTGAGATTTTGAAGTATTATCAAAAAATCTTCATCCAAGGCAGAGAGCTCGATGTCACGGATGAATCCGTAATGATTGAGGGAAATACTACGAGCATATTCATAAGCCGGCTGGCAATATTGGAAGATGCTTTCGTAGAACTAAGTGCAGCCGAGAATATACGCTTCCCACTGGAAGTTACATTTCATGGCGAGCAGGCAGAAGATTTTGGAGGGCCCAGGCGGGAGTTCTTCACCATTGTTGTCCGGGAAATAAAAGAGAGAATGTTGGATGAAGAGATAAATTTCGTTCCATGTGATGAAAGGCTGGCACGCCAGCATTTCTTTTACGCTGGACTCCTCTTGGGTAGGGGTTTCTTAATTTCATCTCATTTCTTAATCTTTTACACAAATTCTTGATATTTTTACATTTTGTGTGGTAACATGATGTTACGTGATATGCATTGTAGGTTTAAGTGCCATTCAGGGTGGCCCGCTCGCGCCATATCTTCATTCCCTCCTCAACGCAAGTGAAACGACTGAAAAAAAACAATTCATCAAGGGTTTAAGAAGGACTGGGCTATTTCAAGTGAGTTGCGTATTTAATTCTATATGTACTTGCATCTTGTATATATATATATATATATATATATATATATATATATATATATATATATATATATATATGCGCCCAACAACGAATATCGGTACACATTTCATATGTAGAACCATCTTGTCTCTTATATAAAATGTTAATAATTTAATTTCAAACTACTAGAAAGAAATACAAAATTTGATATTTTGGTATTTGAGAGAAGGTAAAATAACTCAAACATTGTCTGTCTATATTTTTGAATACAATTGTGTTCAAGTTAAGCATAGATGGGACTTCATTAATCAAATCAGCGTGCGCCAAATGCGCCGTTTGACCAATGTGTCAGACTAAGTCTACGTGCTACCCATATCTTATCAAATGTTTTATTATGCAAATCCATGGTGTTTATATGCATTTTTTTCTGAGAAAGCGGCACACATAGTACATGTAATTTTTAAGACCTAGATTTGTTGCAACTTTTGCCTGAACTCGAATAACACGTTTCACTATGTTTGGTTCTTCTTCACAGTAAGTACTTTAATGCAATCCTAATTTTGTCCCATAAAGTGCTTTTTAGTAATTTCAAAATTATAATTCATCGGCATATTTCAGTTATATTTATTTATTCATTATTATTGAATAATCGTTTATAAAAATCATTTTAATTAACGGTGTAGGGGGGGGGGGGGGCTAACGAACGATTTAGATGTTGTAATTTTTGCATGTATTTATCATTGCTTACAAGGATACAGTACTATTATTCGACTCTGAGGTTTGTGGCCATCTGCCGCTGGTGCACCATATAGGTTTATGAAAACGTTACATGTTCCCAAATATGTGTTTTGAACTGCGTAGTGTAGGTAAATGCTGTCTTTGATAAATAATACATACAAGTAACTGATTAATTCTTTCAGTTAATGCAGGGAACAGGCACAGTTAGATTTCTCTTCCATCCGACAGCAACAACAACACTGACCGTCAACAAATTGTTACACCTGTTGACAGTAAATTTCTCATGTGAGGGATCGTCTCGCCGAGCTAAAGAGGAGAAAACGTACAACGAATTTGTTAAATACCTCAGGGATGTTTACGGTAGGTGAGAAACACACACACCTCTCATAAAACCTTACCCTTCCTCACGCGCAAAGAAAAATACCAAATTTATATACTAATATGTATATACTTAAAATTTATAAAATACATGTATTGTCCTTTATATAATACTTACAGAAACATAAGCACTCACGTCAGACGATTTAGCAACCCAAAATCACACATGTGCGCATGCACAACTTAGTCATAAACAGACACCTGTTGCAAACTGCTTGATTATTTTAGTAACACAGAAACATGAGAATTTAGTGCCTGCATTTAGTTGACATGATAATTAAAGATGCCCTTTAAAAACCCATTTATAAAAATATTTTCAGCTGGAAGAAGAGGAGACAACATTTCACTAGGAAATGTCCTGAATTTTATCACCTGTGTTGAAAATATTCCTCCACTGGGATTTGCCATTACACCATCCCTAACCTTCGTTGATGATGCTGGGCCATTTCCAACGGCCCAGACTTGTATCAACCGCATTATACTGCCCTCTGGCACCGCCGCGCTTAATCCGGATTTTCTGGATCTGGCCTTCTTGAATGCTCACTTCGGACATACGTAGAACAGATTTGGAATACTTAACAAGAGACTTGCATAGTAACACCGTTTTACTGTCATTGCATTCTGAGTATTTCCCACATGGGGAGCAAGCCTCTGTGGATGTTTTTAAAACATTTTTCTTAATTCCTGTGAGTAGACCTGTTTTGTAGTATACGATTTCATTGGCGCATCATGTGTATTTGAACTGTGAAATTGATTGTTGCTCACATTCTACGTTTTGTACAGAAACTGATTTCTTTACTTGTATTACTCATAACACCTAATTACAGATGACTTGCATGCTTATTGTGCTTTCGACAGCCAGTCAGTTTATACAGAGTTGTACATGTAAATACAACTGTTTATATGATCTTCGAAGTCAAAGGTAATTAAACTTAATTAAAGTAAGGTTAAACACGACTAACAGTATAGCTGTATTTGTTTTGGAAGAACAGAAGGCACAAAGATGAGCACGAACTCATTTTTTAGTTTTGGAATAAAATACAGTTTCAGAACTTTTACTATTACTTTGATAAACACAAAAATCTCTCTTCCGTTGTGAAAATAAACATGATATCCTTTGAATACTACATATATTTTTATGTGACAAATCCAGTGGACATACGCCCCGTTAATGTAGTGGTGTAATACAACCCCGCAACCAATTGTGTCCTGTTGGGAAGTCACATCAGATTAAATTAAAAGACAATTTGCTAGACAGAAGTAAATGTCACCAGTTCAAAGAAGTGGGGGAACAATGGGAAATATCGCTCAAGATAGAGAGTTGGGGATAATATTTTTAATATATTCGATCAGTGCATATTATCTATTCAAGATATATTACTAAAGTCAGGTACTCTTCACACAATTGCTCCAAAGAAAATAGTTCCATTCATGATCAGCAGATACAACATTACAACAAATTTTAAGAATAATGATGAATATCTAATACGTTAAAGAAAACAAAATTATCGTGAAAAGATTTTAAGAAAATCACTTTTTCCCCAGAAAAGCAAAGAAAAAGTTTTCGTATTCCTACGCTCGCTGCCTCCTCAGTCTTTTTCACGAAATATATAGGTCATACTTCGATTGATAATGATAAATCTTTTCACCAATTATATTACTGTCATGATTATTGTTCGTTAATTGCCGTGTATTTTCTCATGAGTTAGAATATTAATCATTAACTGTTTGTTTGTTTTTTCCCCTCTTTTTTAAGCAACGGAATGGTTATTATTTTTAAACACCTGCAATCGTAACTTCTCGGCAAAGCAACGTGATTTTCCAAGCTCGTCGGAAAGGATCTTCGAACGTGTGTAGACCTAGGCTATTTGATCAGTATTTGCTACGGACATGAAGAAATTTAGAACTATACACCAGTTTCATAACAAATGCAGGTTTTTTACTCAAGCCTTAGACTGGGCTAGAGGGACTGAGTTATCTAAAACGATGGTAGGTCATCGATTTACTCAGTTTTTAATCAAGAAAATATACTATTTTTGTAAATAAAAACATTTCTTGAAACAAAATGAAGTTTTCAAAACGTCTGTATCTTCAAAATCTATATTAAGTGTTAAATGTCGGACTCTATTCTATGACGAAGGACTATTCAGTATTGCTCCACGGCCGCAACCAATCTCGCGATTTCCTTTGCGTTTAAACAACGGCCGTGACACCGTCAATGCATCTCTGGACGAGTTCATTGATTACTCTAAAAGGTGACAGGTTGACCCATCTTTAACATCTGCCTATACTTTGAGTGATAGTACTTTAATAGCACAAAATTAAAATATAAATTAAAATCTATCCTTGATAGATCTATAGTTTTGCTATTTAAAAAAAAAATTGGGCTATCTTTGATAATCCATAACGGCTTGAATTTTTTTCACAGAAGATTCTATCATTGGAAAGTTAGATGCATGTAGCACAGGCCCATAGTACGCGGGATTTTTTCGGAGCCCCCCCCCCCCTTTCACTTTGAAAACGTTGCTATGCCTGCAACATGCTATTTGGATTATGAGTGAGGTGTTAAATACATTTTTAAAATTATACGATTAATTATATTTAGTCTATGTTCTATGTGAAATTAAACCTATTTTTTATGCATGTGCAACTTTGTGATAAAGTCACTACAAGCATGTAACGATATATATATATATATATATATATATATATATATATATATATATATATATATATATATATATATATATATATATATATATATACATACAGGTTGTTTCCTAGTACATGCATATTTTATTCAACAAAAGATGTTGAAACTCAGTAGCCTAAATAATATGTCATTTTAGGATATTTATGGCACTTTTATAGTTGACTTTCTACAGCTTGAGTATCTCTGACGTTTTGTCAGTACATGTAAATACTTGTTTTTTATTAGAAATCATCTGAGCACAATGAAAATGCGAATAAATTAAAAGTCGAATATCTTGGATATGGGGTAACCCATATCTTTTCTTGTTATCTTTATTGAAACGAATTTTACAATTGGTCAATTTAATGTTAACCGAGGAATGGAATTTAATTAGAATTTATATTAAACCACATCTTCAAACTATAAATAAAATCACAGAATGCACTGTAAATATAATCATGTTTATCATTAGCTCACCTGAATATAAAAATTCAATTTTCCTCAAGTCATACATTGTCAAACATTCTTTAACAAAATAGTTCTTCAGTTAGTAAATTATTATTTTGTCTAGACTGAACCAGAATTTTTATATTCGACCGTAACATTTAATATTTAGATTTAGAAGTAATAATCTCCACAAATCAAACAGTTTAACATTGTCCCAGTGAATTTGTAACTGAAAGCTCAAGTGAGCTTTTCTGATCACCCGTTGTCCGTCCGTCCGTAAACTTTTTCACATTTTCCAACTTCTTATCAGGAACCACTGGGCCAATTTTAATCAAACTTGGTACAAAGCATCCTTGGGTAAAGGGGACTTAAAATTGTAAAAATGAAGGACCAAGCTCCCTTACATAGGGAGATAATCAAGAAACACAAAAATAGGTTGTTCCTAGCTATCTTTCAATAATACATTGAATGCTTACAAAGCCGTTCATACATGTAGTATCGTCACTTGTAAGGTACATGTAATCAGTAATCACGTAGAACAAAATACTGTGCTAGGGCCTCTCTCCAATTAGATGCATCATGCCAACCTCTTTGAATAAAAATCAAAGAGGCTTGTTCATCAAAGTCATGTGATCCACTTCTGGATGGAACTTTGCACTGTGTGCCTGCAAACTCTATATCTTCTTCATTCACTGACTGAAGACAGTTAAGGAACCCTGAAAAAAGAAAAAATAAATTATGAGACATCCCTCCAAATTGAACAACAATAGTTAAGGTGTAAAGAAGTCTATATAATGTAAATTAAATGTGGCTAAATTGTAAGCTTTCGGGTGAAATTTTAAGCATAACCTACATGAAACAAAATCAAATTTCTGAAATTTTTATACCTTTCTCTTCAGGTAGCAAATAAAGTACTGTTGGTTTCCCATGGGGGCAAGCTGCATGCCTATTGTATGAAATAGAATGGTTGTTCCACTGTTCCACTAAGTTATTCAATTCATCTTGTAAAAGTGGCATGAATGAAAACCGTATTGCATATCTACAATGAAAGACCTTCACATAAAATCTATTTTGTATTTAAAAACAAACACATAAATGTATGTTGGGATCTAAAAAGTGAACAATAACCTACATGTGATGCAGATTCCCCCTTTGAAAGGCACCAAAAACTTCTAGGTCCTTAAAAAAATGTATCCACCATTCCATTTGATGTCTTCGCATCATGCTCCACCAACATTCTATCCTCTGTTGAAACAAAAGATTAAATGACTCCGACAGCGAAAAACAGAGAGAGGGGGAGAAAGGGGGGGGGGTGATAGAGAGTTTGTCAATACATGCATCTTACCTGATTGAAAAGGGACCGAACAACCCTATATCTGTCAATACCAGTGAACTTATCTTTTCCTTCATGTCGAAAGAGACATTGCAAAGCTCCCATTATTATATTTTCTGTGCCTGGATCACTTTGAAGAATAGTAGGACAACCTAATTAAAAGTATACGTACGCTATTTTACCAACTGGAATTACAAGGGACAGAATCCAAATTAAACTAGTAGACTAATTGTTCTCGAACAATTAGAGGTCTTTCCACCTTCTTTAAATTTCTTTAATTTTTATATTTTACTCTCTAAAGTTAATTTTTATACAAAAAGAATCCAGAAATGGCTTGAAAATAGAAAAAAATGAAAATTTTGAAAATTTTGAAATGACCTTGACCTTTGACCTTTACCACACATTAAAGGTCAAAGGTCAAGAATCACATTGCAATTAGTTTCATGCTTCTAGGACTTATACTTTTAAAGTTATAAGGCCTACTATTAAGCGCAAAGCCGTTAAAGGGCGATAACTCATATAAAGGGTCATCAGATCCTTTCGCACTGAATAGATTGAAGTTGTGTCTAAAGACCCTGAAGACATTAGTGAAGGTTTGATGTCTCTACGGTCTACGGTTTCAGAGGAGTAGCGATAACAAGGTTTTTTGCACAAGGGGCAATAACTTTCAAAGGGGTTAAGCTTAGGGGACAAGAATGAAATCTTTGAAATAGTTTTAGAAGGACATATTAAAGATGCAAAGGCATATAGTATATGTTGAAAGACAAGAGAGTTATTAATATCTCATAGTTTGAATGACCTTGACCTTTGACCTTGACATAAATTTCAAGGTCAAATGTCAAAGAATTCAATGCAGTTGGTTTCATGTCTCTACGACTTATGGTTTTGAAAATTTTTAATTTTTCATGAATATCAAAAACTTTCAGGGGCAATAACTCATTGAAGTGGTCAACGAATTCTTTCGCAATGAATAGATTGAAGAATCCCCTCAATTAGTCAAAGACATTGGTGAAGGTTTCGTACCTCTACGGTTTACGGTTTCGAAGGAGTAGCGATAACAAGCTATTCTTGCGAAAGGGGCAATAACTTCGTAAGAGGTCAAAGTTCAAACATGGGGGGTCGTTTTTCGGAATAACTTTTAATATCCAGTATCATGAACTATAAAGTTTTTCGATAAGTCTTGCGGTTTCAAAAGTCCGGGAAGAAAAATAATAATAACTAGTAGACTAATTGTTCTCGAACAATTAGAGGTCTTTCCACCTTATTTAAATTTCATATATTCTTTATATTTAACTCTCTACTGTTTATTTTTATACAAAAGAAACCAGAAATGGCTTGAGATATGGAAAAAAAATGAAATTTAAAAAAATTGAATGACCTTGACCTTTGACCTTGAACAAATTATTTAAGTTCATAAGTCAAGGGTCACATTGCACTTGACCCCATGCTTTTACGACTTTTGGTTTTAAAGTTATAAGGTTTAATAGTAAGAGCAAAGATGTTAAAGGGCGATAACTCATATAAGGAGTCATCGGATCCTTTCGCACTGAATAGACTGAAGTTGTGTCTAAAGGCCCTAAGAACATTAGTGAAGGTTTCGTGTCTCTGCGGTTTACGGTTTCGGAGGAGTAGCGATAACAAGGTTTTTCAGTGAAAGGGGCAATAACTTTTAAAAGGGTAAATCTTAGGGGACAAGTATGAAATCTTTGAAATAGTTTTAAGAGGACATATTAAAGATGCAAAGAGATTTAGTATATAATAAAAGACAAAAGAGATATAAAAAGAGCTTAATTTCTCAAATTTTGAATGACCTTGACCTTTGACCTTGAAAAAAAATTTCAAGATCTGAGGTCAAAGAATCTAATGCAGTTAGTTCCATGTCTGTACGACTTATCGTTTTGAAAATTTTTCATTATTTGTAAACTTCATAAACTTTCAGGGGCAATAACTCATTGAAGGGGTCGACAAATCATTTCGCAATGAATAGATTGAAAAGTCCTCTCAATTAGTCAAAGACATTGGTGAAGGTTCTGTATCTCTACGATTTACGGTTTCGAAGGAGTAGCGATAACAAGCTATTCTTGCGAAAGGGGCAATAACTTTGTAAGAGGTCATAGGTCAAACACGTTGGGTCGTTTTTCGGAATAACTTTTAATATCCAGTATCATGAACTATAAAGTTTTTTGATAAGTCTTGCGGTTTCAAAAGTCCGGGAAGAAAAAGAATAATAATAATAATAACTAGTAGACTAATTGTTCTCGAACAATTAGAGGTCTTTCCACCTTCTTTATATTTCATATATTTTTCATATTTTACTCTCTGAAGTTAATTTTTATACAAAAAGAATCCATAAATGGCCTGAAAGATAGAAAAAATGGTAATTTTTTTAAAAAAATTGAAATGACCTTGACCTTTGACCTTGAACAAATATTCAAGGTCAAAGGTCAAGGATCACATTGCACTTGATCTCATGGTTCTACGACTTTTAGTTTTAAAGTTATAAGATTTAATAGTAACCGCAAAGACGTTAAAGGGCGGTAACTCATATAAGGGGTCATCGGATACTTTCGCACTGAATAGATTGAAGTTGTGGCTAAAGACCCTGAAGACATTAGTGAAGGTTTTGTGCCTCTACGGTTTACAGTTTCGGAGGAGTAGCGATAACAAGGTTTTTCAGTAAAAGGGGCAATAACTTTTAAAGGGGTAAATTTTAGGGGACAAGTATGAAATCTTTGAAATAGTTTTAAGAGGACATTTTAATGATTCAAACATATTTAGTATATGTTGAAAGACAAAAGAGATATAAAAAGAGCTTAATTTCTCATATTTCGAATGACCTTGACCTTTGACCTTTGCATATATTTTAAGGTCTGAGGTCAATGAATCTTATGCAATGGTCCCATGTCTTTACGACTTATTGTTTTAAAAATTTTAAATTATTTCTAAAAATCAAAAACTTGGAGGGGCAATAGCTCCTTGAAGGGGTCGATGAATACTTTCGCAATGAATAGATTGAAGAGTCCCCTAAATTAGTCGAGGACATTGGTGAAGGTTTCGTATCTCTATGGTTTACGGTTTCAAAGAAGTAGCGATAACAAGCTTTTATTGCGAAAGGGGATGTAACTCCTCGAGGGGTCAAAGTTCATATACGCAGGGTCAACTGCAAAAATCTTTTACGGAGTTCATTTTCATAGACTATAAATCTTTTCGATAAATCTTGAAACTCAAAATCTTGCGGCGGAAAAATAAGAAGAATAATAAGAAACAGAAGAAAACCAATAGGTCTTTCCACAGAAAGGTGGAAAGACCTAATAATAATAAACATAAGCATTTCAAGAGGTCTTTCCACAGAAAGGTGGAAAGACCTAATAACTAGTAGACTAATTGTTCTCGAACAATTAGAGGTCTTTCCACCTTTAAATTTCATATATTCTTCATATTTAACTCTCTACTCTTTATTTTTATACAAAAGAAACCAGAAATGGCTTGAGAGATGGAAAAAATGAAAAATTAAAAATTTTGAAATGACCTTGACCTTTGACCTTGAACAAATATTCAAGGTCAAAGGTCAAGGGTCACATTGCAATTAACCCCATGCTTCTACCACTTTTAGTTTTGAAGTTATAAGGCTTACTAGAAAGCGCAAAGACGTTAAAGGGCGATAACTCATATAAGGGGTCACCGGATACTTTCGCACTGAATAGATTGAAGTTGTGTCTAAAGACACTGAATACATTAGTGAAGGTTTCGTGTCTCTGCGGTTTACGGTTTCAGAGGAGTAGCGATAACAAGGTTTTTCGCACAAGGGGCAATAACTTTTAAAAGGGTTAAGCTAAGGGGACAAGATTGAAATCTTTGAAATAGTTTTAAAAGTACATAATAAAGATGTTAAGATGTACTGTATATGTTGAAAGACAGAAGAGCTATAAAAAGAGCTTAATTTCTCTTATTTGGAATGACCTTGACCTTTGACCTTGACATAAACTTCAAGGTCTAGGGTTAAGGAATCTAATGCAGTTAGTTTCATGTCTCTACAACTTATCGTTTTGAAAATTTTTCATTATTTGTAAACTTCAAAAACTTTCAGGGGCAATAACTCATAAAAGGGCTCAACGAATCCTTTCGTAATGAATAGATTGAAGAGTCTCCTCAATTAGTCGAAGACATTGGTGAAGGTTTCGTACCTCTATGGTTTACGGTTTCGGAGGAGTAGCGATAACAAGGTTTCTAGCGAAAGGGGCAATAACTGCGAAAGAGGTCATAGGTTATATGCGTTGGGTCAAATTTGTTCATAACTTTTTATGACCTTTACGATGAACAAAAAATCTTTTCGATAAATGTCGAAACAAAAAATCAGCGGAAGAAAAATAATAATAAGAAGAAGAATAATAACTAGTAGACTAATTGTTCTCGAACAATTAGAGGTCTTTCCACCTTCTTTAAATTTCATGTATTCTTCACATTTAACTCTCTACTGCTTATTTTTATACAAAAGAAACCAGAAATGGCTTGAGAGATGGAAAAAATGAAAATTTTAAAAATTTCGAAATGACCTTGACCTTTGACCTTGAACAAATATTCAAGGTCAAAGGTCAAGGGTCACATTGTAATTAACCCCACGCTTCTACGACTTTTAGTTTTAAAGTTATAAGGTTTACTAGTAAGCGCAAAAACGTTCAAGGGCGATAACTCATATAAGGGGTCACCGGATACTTTCGCACTGAATAGATTGAAGTTGTGTCTAAAGACCCTGAATACATAAGTGAAGATTTCATGTCTCTGCGGTTTACGGTTTCAGAGGAGTAGCGATAACAAGGTTTTTCGCACAAGGGGCAATAACTTTTAAAAGGGTTAAGCTTAGGGGACAAGATTGAAATCTTTGAAATAGTTTTAAAAGTACATACTAAAGATGTTAAGATATACTGTATATGTTGAAAGACAAAAGAGCTATAAAAAGAGCTTTATTTCTCATATTTGGAATGACCTTGACCTTTGACCTTGACATAATCTTCAAGGTCTAGGGTTAAGGAATCTAATGCAGTTGGTTTCATGTCTCTACAACTTATCGTTTTGAAAATTTTTCATTATTTGTAAACTTCAAAAACTTTCAGGGGCAATAACTCATAAAAGGGCTCAACAAATCCTTTCGTAATGAATAGATTGAAAAGTCTTCTCAATTACTCGAAGACATTGGTGAAGGTTTCGTAACTCTACGGTTTACGGTTTCGGAGGAGTAGCGATAACAAGGTTTCTAGTGAAAGGGGCAATAACTGCGAAAGGGGTCATAGGTTATACGCGTTGGGTCAAATTTGTTCATAACTTTTTATGACCTTTACGATGAACAAAAAATCTTTTCGATAAATGTCGAAACAAAAAATCAGCGGAAGAAAAATAATAATAATAAGAAGAATAATAATAATAATAATAAACAGAAGAAAATCAATAGGTCTTACCACAGAAAGGTGGAAAGACCTAATAACTAGTAGACTAATTGTTCTCGAACAATTAGAGGTCTTTCCACCTTTAAATTTCATATATTCTTCATATTTAACTCTCTACTCTTTATTTTTATACAAAAGAAACCAGAAATGGCTTGAGAGATGAAAAAAATGAAAATTTAAAAAATTTGAAATGACCCTGACCTTTGACCTTGAACAAATATTCAAGGTCAAAGGCCAAGGGTCACATTACAATTAACCCCATGCTTCTACGACTTTTAGCTTTAAAGTTATAAGGTTTACTAGTAAGCGCAAAGAAGTTAAAGGGCGATAATTCATATAAGGGGTCATCCGATACTTTCGCACTGAATAGATTGAAGTTGTGTCTAAAGACCCTGAATACATTAGTGAAGGTTTCGTGTCTCTGCGGTTTACGGTTTCAGAGGAGTAGCGATAACAAGGTTTTTCGCACAAGGGGCAATAACTTTTAAAAGGGTTAAGCCAAGGGGACAAGATTGAAATCTTTGAAATAGTTTTAAAAGTACATATTAAAGATGCAAAGATATACTGTATATGTTGAAAGATAAAAGAGCTATAAAAAGAGCTTTATTTCTCTTATTTGGAATGACCTTGACCTTTGACCTTGACATAAACTTCAAGGTCTAGGGTTAAGGAATCTAATGCAGTTAGTTTCATGTCTCTACGACTTATCGTTTTGAAAATTTTTCATTATTTGTAAACTTCAAAAACTTTCAGGGGCAATAACTCATAAAAGGGCTCAACGAATCCTTTCGTAATGAATAGATTGAAGAGTCTCCTCAATTAGTCGAAGACATTGGTGAAGGTTTCGTACCTATATGGTTTACGGTTTCAGAGGAGTAGCGATAACAAGGTTTCTAGCGAAAGGGGCAATAACTGCGAAAGAGGTCATAGGTTATATGCGTTGGGTCAAATTTGTTCATAACTTTTTATGACCTTTACGATGAACAAAAAATCTTTTCGATAAATGTCGAAACAAAAAATCAGCGGAAGAAAAATAATAATAAGAAGAAGAATAATAATAATAATAATAAACAGAAGAAAATCAATAGGTCTTTCCACAGAAAGGTGGAAAGACCTAATAATAATAAACAGAAGAAAATCAATAGGTCTTTCCACAGAAAGGTGGAAAGACCTAATAATAATAAACATAAGCATTTCAAGAGGTCTTTCCACAGAAAGGTGGAAAGACCTAATTACTACCGTTTGTATTGTATGCATTTTTCTGCAATCTTGGAATCGTAAAATTTATCACATAATTATGCACAAAGATCGCATTGTACATGTATTGTTTAAATCTAAAAACAAAATGCTTTTAATATTAGTTGTGTGGGAGTACATAGAATATTAATAGCTACCGGGGAGACAGGTCTGCTGGGGCCTTAAGGCGGCTCCAAACCCATTTTCACACATCCCAGCTTACCCTAATTCCTGGACCCCCCCCCCCTCCTCCTCCCGCATTGTCAATTTTCTCAATTATATCTTGTCCACCAACAGAAATTTTACCTTGCAAGGTTCTCACACAATTCAGGAAATGTTGACCAACAATCGCTGGGTTGTTATTGGATGGCCCAACTACAAGCCACAATATCTTCCTAGAATAACTGTGAGAAGTATGCATGCAATAAATTGTTTATTATACCGAACAAGCAAACATAAACTTTCAAATTCGGCACTTCTCTCAAAATCACTTTCAATTTTAATGTTAAGATACTGAATCTCATGGACACAAAAACAGTCAGCAATTTTGTGCCATGAACCAGATTTGTCTACTACTACTACTCTCAGTAGTTTTCGTTCAACGAACGATAACTATTGCGGGAAAATGCACTAGGTGAATGCCAACGACAGGGAAATATGAAGTTTTATGTCCCTGTCATGTGATAATCTAGAACCAATCAGATAATGCGTTGTAAAAAATAATTATAATGAGGTATAATAAACAGGCTCATTGCATATACGATTTACCTGACGTCACAATAGCCGTAACAGCCCTGCAGGGCTGATATGGATCTGCGGGGCTGATACATAGGGAATATTACATACTAAAATCCGTATCATATGTCATATCAGCCCGAGTGTCCCCATAACAGCCCGAGGGCTGATATGGGGTCCGAGGGTGAACTTTTTTCTTTGAAATCTAATAAAGCAAATTTTAGGTCTTTGAAAACAAATTAAGTCCACAGATGTTAATAAAGAATTTTTTACATGTGTTTTTAAATAAAACCAAGTTAATTGACTTTTAAACTTTAAACAAACGTTACTTCCGGTTTGATATGAATTTTTGCCCGCCGGTCCGATACGTAATATGGATTTTCGGACCGGTCCTTGATATGGGGTATTGTGACGTCACCCGTATCGCACAGTGCAGAATCGGTGTATTTACTACTCAGTATATGATAAAGATCAATATCACATCCCTGGTAAATTAAACCTTAAAAAAGCAGTACTTGTGATAATACACATATATATAATTATATATTTTTAGTTCACATTCTCTTAATTTTAAATTACTGTTCTTTGCTACAATAAGCTACGTACATGTCGGTAATCAGTGCATGATTATTTATATTTTATTTTATACGTCACTTGTAGATATCGGAAGATGCTCTTTCCTTGCGTAGTGTGTGCATAAAATTTACATGATTATATAAAAACAGCTCACCCATCTATACATCCATGTATTGGGAATCCATACGGTTTCAGCTTGTAGTATCTAAAATAAAAAAGAGAATATATTACGGCAAATTTAAGGAAAAGAATACATGAAACGATATTCAATTAATTGAGTGTAAAATTGAATGTACATATCCTACCCGTCCACATGCCAAATAAAGTTAGGTCCACACGAGTAGTAAACTTTCCTCATAATACGGCGACGTCTACGAAAACGAACACCAACAGGATCCAGATCTCTTAATATTTGCATGACTTTATCCCTGAAAAAAAATTTCTAAGAAAATGTATATGACTATAGATCAAACACATGTGTATAACATGTATGTATTTAATGACCTGTTCACAGGGAGAATTCGAATTAAACATAAGTTACTGAATATTAAATTTGAACCGCGTTCACACGGAGATTGTCATGCGAATTAATACGCATTTTCTCCGTGTTAACGCTACGCGAAATTTGAATTAAATTTTGACGTGTGCGTATCGGCAGAATTAAGTTACATGCTACATATCGGTGGTCTGATAAAGGTAGTTTAATTAACATTTATTTTACTTAATCTACTGCAAATTAAATTCTCCTTGTGAACGGAGCATAAGGAACCAGTATACATGTATACCTTCTAACTGGAATACCCTTATGTTTGAGAATGTCTGTCATGTATCTGTATCCGACTGTGTTAGGTACAGTTGTCAGAAGTTCCTGAAATAGGAAATGTGTGATATATGTGTTCTAAGAACATAAACTGCATTTTAAGAAATATGTGCATACATCTACTCAGAAGATTCAAGTCTCTAATTTACCTGGATATGTGCTCTTAAATCTGCGTCAGTACAGTTTGTCTGTCCTCTTCTTCGAGGATAGTTTAAGCGAATGAGGCGTTTGCATATAGCGTTGGAGCTATAAAGAATGTTATGAAAACTATAACTTATGATGTACATTTTTTTAAACACCCGAAGAAACACCATTTCAATAAATGTATTGAAAGATTACAGATATAATTACCTAAGCGTAATTGAGTGCTCCTTTTTCAAAATACGAGAAATTTCAGAATACGTCATATTCTTCTGAGCATATTTTACAAGCAAAGCGTCTAGGTGAAAAAGTAAATTAATGTTTTAGCAAACAGAAAAGAAAATATTATTCATATTTCTTCATGAAGAGATAAATAACAATCTTTTACAAAAACATATAAAAGGCTCAAAAAGTACTGAATAATATATTACACACCGACAGAAGAATCCATTCTTCTTTATTCTTCTTTAGCCTTGGGTTTTGAAGAATTCATGTCCTCTTAAAAAATTCCATCGTTTGGTATGTGCGTTTTATCTTGTGGAAAGTTTACGGCTTGGAATCGCACATGATTTCAATTATCTTATCAAAGTTCAAAATCAACATAAATATGTCAATCAGAAGGTTCTTTGTTAGAAAGTGTCATTTTCGTCAATTTGACAATTTCTCTGCACAAAAAGCAACAAAGGTTTCTGTGCATTTTGTACATAGTAGAATTTGTCAATTTGTACATGTACATTTACCAACAAAGGTTTTTGTGTATTATGTCTGTGCTAAATTGTTCAATTTTACATGTACACAAGGCAGTAAGTTAAGTTGTGATGTGGCGGCCGTTATCGGCCATCGTAGCGCCGTGGTTACAAGACATGTTGATTTTAAAATGAAGTAAATTTATTTCTCAGTATCAAATCGAATGGAATGAAATTTCACACATCAACAAAACAAATATTTTTACACATGATATTGTGCTAATTTTAAATTTCTTGGAAGTAGTATAACAAAGATTGACATCGTCCACGAACTTTTCGAACAACCCTCGTATATATTCATGTTATTCCTTCAAAATTCATTACAATAATCATATTACATAGAGTGAATGAAAAGAAGAAGTCTCTTGCTTTGGCCTTGAATACAACATTTAAATACATGTTTATCGACGACGTTTTATCAATCAACAATGTTCAGTTCCATACTTACGTTGATTCGATATATCCCATTGAACTCGAAATATAACATCACAGAGTCTGACACATCTGCTTCATATTTGGATGTTTTACTAGAGAATAACATTGATGACGAAATGACAACTTAACTTATGACTTTAATGGTAATCTAACAACAAAGCTTTATGATAAACGTAATGACTTCAATTTTTTTTTCAATCGTCAACTTCCCTTACTTATGTAGCAATATACCCTTATCACCTGCATATGGGTTTTTTTGTCTCCCAATTGATTCGATACGCAAGAGCATGCTCTACTTTTTAATAATTTCGAAAAGGAGGTAAGCTATTGACAAACAAGTTGATGAAACAAGGATATCAACAGTTTCGTTCGAAGTCATCTTTTCCCCAAGTTTTATGGTCGATACAATGATGACCTTGTCAACCTATCATTAAGTCAAATGCTGATTGACGATTTTCATGCTAATATGCTAATTTTTAGGCAATTATTTACACACTGAATTGTCAACGGATTTTTCCCGATCATGACAAAGAGCACACGGCGGGTATGACAGATCGGATCACTACTCCATGGCACCTGATCCCATCTCTGATGTTTTTGGAGGACCTTGTTTACTCTGCTCCCGATCTGTATTGTTTTAATGGACCTTGAGCTTGAATACTGACATACGCGTCTTTCATACAAAATGGTTAAAAGCACTATTTATATACAATGTGTATAACTCTTTTAAAATCTTCTCAAGAACAGCAGCGTTATGATTGATCATTTTAACATCAATTCTCTGTAAGGACCAAAAATGCTTGGCCACGCACTATCATGGAATTTTATTTTATCACTATAATATTAGAGAGTGCCCTATATAAAGACTATTGGTGGGTAAATTTTGGACAGTACCTCCTTGGTTTCCATAGCAACGACTTTGAAATATTTTGTTATGGCAAAACTGACCTGATTGTCATCACCACGTAAAATAATTCTGTGCTTCCTTAATGTAGGAAAGTTATCAACATAACATGGGTTTCATTTTATAGCTAAGTAATTAAAGTTTCTGTGCATCTATATTTTATTCAATTTAACCCAAGGTTTTTAATATGATACAGATCAATTTACATGAATTTGTCATAAAAATGAATACAAAGGTGCCTATTTCTTGATATGCATATTAAATTTTGCAGGCAATTGAAACTTACAAAAAAGATATTTTCAGTAAGATCGAGCTTAGATCTAAAAGATGCAAAAAGATTTGAGGTGGGGAAATCAGTTAAAAGTCATATTCCAATCCCCTCAAATAATAACTTTTCCTAAAAATTAGCCTAGAGTTATTTCCCTTTGCTGACTCTTTTGCACTGAAGACAAAAAATTAAACTGGTGTTATTTCCCTTTGTTGACTCTCCTGTATTGAAGTCTAAAGAAGTTTATAACAACATGTGGCAAAAACAGACGCCAGAAAAATAAACATGAAACAATAACAGAAAAATGATGCGTTTTTCAACTTTTTAAAATGGAATTCAGGTGTGTATGACAAAGTAAGTCATCAAAAGAAGGAGACACTGCTTTCTCAGCATTCAACTTGACAATGATGTATAGGTCTTTATTAATAATAGATTTTTAAGTCAAATTCACTTTGCGAAATATTGAAACAAATTTCATGAAGTCTGACTTGTATTCCCATCATGTGGGATTCCATGTACTCTCTAAAACCTATGAGAAAAATGCAAGATGCAATTGGAGGAATACAACAAGCAGAAGATAAGGCAGTCAGTGGGAATGGTTAGAACAACCCTAGGCACAGGTATAAATTTGAATTTTTTCAAATATTTATTTTGTATAAAAACTACATGTAAGAAGCTTTTTCAATTAAATTGACATAATTTTTAAATTAAATAATTTTTTTTTATATAATAGACTTAATTGGTCTATATTCAAAGATCACCATGTTAGCAGGACATTCCAGATATACATCTTAGTAATATATTTGCATTATATAGGAATTTTTGCTTGCTTCAGAAAGCAACTTCCTTTGGCAAATCATAACTACAAAGTTTATCAAAAGGAGGAGAATGTTATAGAAGATGTAAGTTTGTATGTAATGAAAAATATACACAAGGCAATTTAATATAAAAAACATATATTTTTGGTAACGTTGTACATAGTGGCGGATCCAGGAATCTTGAAAAGGGGAAGGGACCAGTTTGGTGTCGGGGTAGGGGCTCAAGGCCACACCAAAAAATTGATTTATTAAATCTGATGTATATTTTGGAGACAAAGGGGGGGGGGGGGCAGGGCCCCCCTCTAAATCCGCCAGTGGTACAGTTTAAAATCTGATATGGCCAATAAAGTAGTACCGGTAGGTGGTGGGTAAAAATTAGAGATGGTCGACTTAACGGAAACACATAAAAAAATTTTTTAGCCTAAAAAGAAGTCATATAATTCAGATTCACTGTAAAAGAACAAAACATATTTAACTGTATTCTCTATTGAGAAGTTGATGGCTCGTTTTAATACTCCCCCTGAGGGGGGGGGGTATTAAAAGGAGCCATCAGCTTCTCAATAGAGAATAATTTAACTGCAGCTAATAAGATATAAATATAATATACCCATGTAAATGTATGTATTCATGATTGACAATAAGAATGAATTTCTTATTTGAAAAAAAATATTTTAAACATATTTTAGATGTACTGGTGCTTTGAAAAAAAGAAGAGGAAAAGATACCGGTACATAAAGGGAACCTTTATTCTTGTGTTTTTATCATCTTTATTTCAACACAAAGGCTAAATACCAGAAGCAGGAGGCAGTTACAAAATTAACTAATGGAGAAAAAAACCTTGCAATTGACCGTGAGAACTGAACATCGGACAGTATCTTAACTGAACAAAATTCTTTTGGAGAAGATTCTGTTAGAGCATGAGGACAGCTTTTGGAGTAGGTGATGGTATATTGTTTCAGTTACTTTTACCTCGCAATTGGCTACACTGAAAATACTGTATGTGTACATAAATTGGCGTATTCAAAATTTAGCGCAATCACTGGGTATGGAGTGGTTGGCGTAATCATGAATTAGCGCTACATACGTCTGCGCCATGTATTGTATTTATTAATGGTTTATTTACGGTATTCATTAATTAACAGATTGTTGTCTGCGTTCAAGGCGATAAAATATGAAGACCAGGTGCTTGAGGATGGGACCCTCTCCCCCGCGTTCCGTACCCCAAGGGTTCTCCCCGACTTTTTTTTAATAAAATATATTTCTATGACACATTCAGAAAGTATTACAATTGAAAAATCCAAAATATAATTTAAAACTAACTTTTTATAAAAATTCATACTTTCTGATACTAAAAGTTCTCTTTTAGTATCCAAGAGTATGAATTTTTATAAAAAATAAATAAAACAATGAACTTCATGTGTATAAACTATAAAAGAAGATGGATCAACTGGAACCAGATATTTGAAAACATAAACATATAGATAAATCTATGTCATCTACATTATTATTTTACTATATCTTGTGTATTCATATTTTTTTTATTTCATGTTTATTCCTAAAAATCTGTATGTAAGCTTTCCAGCCGTGGTGTGTCTGTGTTTGTGTATGTGTTTGTATGTTTGTTTATGTCTAAAGTCAATTAAAAAAAACTTTGTGAATGTGTTATAGAAAAATATTTTATATAAAAAAAGTCGGGGAGAACCCTTGGGGTATGGAACGCAGGGGAGGGGGGAGGGGTCCCGTCCCTAAGCACCTGTGATAGGAAGCCTGCTTTTTAAAGAACGCATGCAGGAATTCTGAGGCAATTTATTTGGAGGTGTAAATACTAACTACTAGCTTAGTATTATATACATTTTAATAAAAATAGATATGCCTATATACTTGTATTTGTTATCACATGAAAAATGTAGTAGATATTAAACAATTGATTTTTAATTTAAGTACATGTGTGTTTTTTATTCCAGGGGAAAAGATGAAGATGATTATTTCAAGTTTCACTTTTCAAACCGATTTAAAATTCTTCTTGACTGGTCAGACACAACACCACATAATGGCCAACCTCTGATGTAAAGAGAAATCATGGAGACATCAAGCCTAGCTGTTTCTATTGTCTACAAAATTGCTATATAGCAGTTATTTTCTACATTTTGTTTATCTCTAAATACACATTTTGGATAATGTTTAGATGTAGATTCTTGCTTGATTAATAATTTGAAGAAAAAAAACTGTTTTTAAAAGTAACGATAAAATTATACATAAACACATGTATGTTTTCTGATTGTAAGAATATACATTAATGGTTTTATTTTTAATGGGGTGTTAATTTATGTCTAAATAATTCTAAATTTCTTTATCCAAATAAAATTGATATCTAAAAATTTGCATCTGGGAACAAGCAAAATTTAAATGGAGGAAATTAACATTAGCTTATCAAATTTCAAACTTGCTAAATTAATATCTACCTACCTATGCATGAAAAAGTAATAATTTATTATTTATTTATTTTTTTTTTTTGGTTGAAAAGTATCATTAGAGCTTTTATCCATTATCTTTTTCCATTTTTTATCTAGTATTTGAAAATGTTGTTTATTGAAATAAGTTCCAGTGAAAAGTTGAATTGCTAATTTTCTTTAGATTTTGAGTTACCTGCCCTTTGTAAAGGATCATAGAGAAACAATTATAATTCATTTAATTTTGTTTTATCTTATTTATTATCTTTAATAATATTTACTTATCATTCCGTTTGTCTCATCTATTCGTGAGAAAAATGTTTGGAAAAGAAATTTTATAAAACAACCAGTGTCTAGTAACTTTTTGAAAAAAATATTATTTGGCAAAATGCCAATTTTCGAAGTTAAAAATACCAAAAACGAAAAAAATCCCCACTCTACTTTTCATAAAAGTTAACTAATATTATTATGGTGTTTCTAAAATTTCAGGTGATTTTTTCTTGAATTGCCTGCATTTCTTGAAAGACTTCTTGAAATATAGGGTAAAAACGACCATTTTCAAAATGTAAGAATTTGGTCATCTTTGAGCCATCAATTGAAGAATTTGCAGTGACTTGTAGAATTTTTTTTAATTGTGTTATATAGTGCTTCATTTGTTCTATTCATATAATGTATGAATTATCTCAAAATAATAAAGATGATTAAACCACATGAAATCAAGTATATAGCATTTTTATGCTTGAATTGAGAGTAAATGGGGCAAAAATCTATATAAGCCCGTTACCATGGCAACCAAGGCAGTAACCTTAATTTTGAATGTTGATTATGTCATAATGTATGGGCATTAATCACCTGAAAAAGTTTCATGAAAATCGCTCATGGTGTGTGCCACAGCCCTACAGTAAAATTTTGGTCCTTACAGAGAATTGATGTTAATATGCAAGCATCTGCAGGAAGTGCAGATCAAAACTGTCTCAAAATTTTGAGAAAGGCAAAGTAATCAGTTTAGCTGTTCAGCCGCCTATCGACTTCTTTCAGTACTTTTAGTACTTTGATTAATATTAGTAGTTATTTGAAGGGGAAAAAATTAGAAGAAAATTAATAATAATAATAAAAATAAATAAATAAAATAAAAAATTCAGTAACAATGTCATTCATATTAAACAACCTTAGTTTATATCCATATGTAACGTTATCCCATTACCTTTGCGAAGTCCAACCACCTGGTCAAGGGGCGTAACTTCTTCAATATTTACAAGTTTCTCGGGGTTAGAGTTCATGCAGCATGTGATTGTTATGGGGGGAAGTTTTGTTTTCTGTAAGATGATTTTGTCGCTGACCATGTAAGGAAGAAAACATGGTAAACAAGAAAATCTCACGGTCTTCCCCAGCAAGACTAGCAACACTAGCTATCCTCGGCGGAGCTTTGATTTTGCTGTCTCTGATTAGAAAAGGAATTCCTCTTGATGCAGCTTCGAACTCCGACCCTGGACACCTTTCGAGGGGATCTTCAGGTGTTTTAAGGACATTACTATGGCATGAAGACTCGGCTACTGATGGATTGTACAGTCTCTCTGTTTATAACCAGTCTGTTGGCGACTCAGATTCTGATGCCGATGTATGTTTCTAAACCATTTAATTATTGCTCTTATTAATTATCTTCAGCTGATCTTTTTCATTTATTTTGTAAAATTTTATTTATAATGTTTATTTATTAATTTTCAAAGTGAAATTATTAAATGACGTGTACAGCCCACAGCTATCTGGATCTTTGATTATGAATATATTACCAAAACCCCAAAACCCAAGTTTGTTCAAATTATAGGCAATCAAAGTTTAATATAGGAATATATAAGGGAAATATCTTTAAACATCTTTTTCTCAAGAACAGCAAAGGCATGATCCCCATGTAAATGTAGATTCAAGTTTTTCAAATCATGATCCCGGGGAGTAGGGTGGCATCACAACAGGGGATCAAAGTTATACATTAGAAGTATACAGGAAATTTCTATAAAAATCTTCTTCTCATGATTAGCAAGTAATGATTAGTCATATTAATAGAGAAGCATCTTCAGGTAGTGTAGATTCAAGTTTGTTCATGCAAATCATGATCCCTGGGGTTAGGGTGGGGCCACAACAGGGGATCATAATTTTTGTTTTTTGTTTGTTTGTATGTTGTTTAACGTACCTCTCGAGAATTTTTCACTCATATAGAGATGCCACCACTTGCCGGTGGAGAGCTGCAAATTTTATCCTATACTCGGCACTTACGGCCATTGAGCAGTGAGGAATCTTTTTCGTGCCAGCACCTACTGCGACACGGGACCTTGGTTTATACGGTCTCATCCGAAGGACCGGTCTCCACGTCCCACAGTGGGATTCAAACCCGCAAACATATGAATATGTACATGCAGGAAAAATCTCTGTAAATCTTCTCAAGAACAGCAAAGCTATGATTAGTCATATTTATACAGAGCCATCCTCGGGTAGTATTCAAATCATGTCACCACCAGGGGTAGGGTGGGGATCAGGACCAGGAGATCACACTTCCTCCCTTCCTTTTACCACTGGTTGTCCCAAAGAATTGAAATAGAAGTGGATATTAAAAAAAGAAGAAGGGGGTCTGGGGTTCCTCCCATAATGGAGAATTTAGGGGGAATACCAAAATAACTGGGGGATTGCGTCATTATAGGTGGGGGAAATTCCCTGGCCCATAGGTCTTAGGGACATTTAACCTGCTTTTACCCATATTTAATTACTTTACATTTCAGTGCAGTTATGTCCACAATGTGAATAAATCAGAGCGATGCCACTTCACTAAGACGACAGATGACTGTTCGATAGATGAGGGGTTCATTGACTACACAGTGTTTTCATACTGTCAGTTCTCTGCAGCCTTGCTACCGTTGGCTCTTATCATTCTGGTAACAAAACATCACAGGCAAAATATTTTATAAGTTTTCAGTGTGGTACATATATACTTTAAACTGGTGTTTTAATTTTCCTCTGTTGAAAGAATTTCACAAACAAGAAGTAATCAATTCTTTTCATTACACGTAGATTATTAATATAGAATATGCTTATTTCAGTTCATATGGTGGTTATTTCTATTCATTGGCCTAGCCATAACAGCTGATGACTAGTAAGTTATACTTAACACAACAGGAAATGCATGCATGCATGTAAATATTACACACACACACAGAAAAAAACAACTCAGTATATCAAAAACCATGTACAATGTAGTTTAGTGTTCTGTATACATTGTCTTTATTGTTATTTTCCTGATATATATTACGAACTGTTACATCATTTATCAGCTGTTCTTATACTTTTCAGTTTCTGTCCCGCCTTAACTGTCATCTCTAAAACATTACACCTCAGTCATAACATCGCTGTATCCTTTGGTTTACAGTTTGATAAATACTGTGCAATATGTATCATGTACAATTTTAGTTATAATGGTATTTATAATGTTGATCCAAAGTTTTGGCACAAATAATTAATATATACTGTAATTCTTATGATCCCAGTAAAATGCATGCTTTAAATTTCTGACTGTAATGGTTCTTCCTATAAAAATATTTGAGTATGCCACTGGTATATATTTCCACTGAAACTTGTACAAATTTCCGGAAAGAGACGACCTTTGCAGGAATTTGATGTGAGAAAACTGTGTGAATTTCCTCAAGTGCTCTTAAAGTTTTACTTGTATATACATTTTATGGATAAGGAAAAAGACAATTACTAAGCATAGTTTGAGGGCCCTACAAATCATATTTTGTTGCCAAAAGTACCAGTCAATAAAATTAATGATTTGTTATACATGTATTTATATAACAATTGTTTCTAATACAAATCTTGTGATGGCCTTTATGACTGCTAGGCAAAAATCAAACATTTGACTGTCACAGTATAGTAAAACACACTTATAACAAAGTTCTAGGGACAGATGATTTTGCTTTCTTATAAACGTAATGCATTTTATCCTGTAAGTTCACTTTAATATGTTTAAAAGCCATGGGGAATAAAAAAAACACTTCGCTGAAAGTGATAATTCATTATAAGCATGTTGAACACTATAAGCATGTTTTACTGTACATGTTATATGCTAAATCATAGAAATTATTATTATTTTCTAAACATCCATACTTTTCAATGATATTCCTTGACCTAAATGCAGGGAGTGACTTTTCTTGCATTTGGAAATGGAGCACCTGATATTTTCTCTGCCATTGCTGCTATTGGTAATGCAAAGAATGGTGAGGCAGGTCTTGCATTTGGAGCATTACTTGGTAAATTTATATGAACTGCTCTTACCTAAGTCAGTATGACAGTTTACAATATTTTTTTTCATTTACCTCATTTTTAGATCTTTTCGTTTTTTTTTTTTTTATCATATCCTGAATAAATATTTTAAAATGAAGAGACTGAGTATTCAGTTGTTCTAATGAATTAAATTATGTACATTGTACATGTATGTAAATTAATTATCACTGAAGAGGTTTGACAATTAGCAAATCAAGATCACTTGAAATCACTTCATGGTACTTATTTGTACTTCAACTCAGATGATATTTACAAATTTCATAAACAGCTGTAAAACTTTTGAAGCACTTATAAGATCCCTGCAAGAATTTTTGGGTGCCCTATAGCAATCACTCTGTCTGTCTGTCTCTCATTCTTCTGTCCACAAAATTTCTGTTTTTTCCTAATAACTGTTTTTACAGTTGTCCTATTAAGTTCAAATTTGGTATGTTGGTTGAATAGGCAGTAAAACATATTTTGAAACCAATATCAATTCTGGATCTCATTGGGGTGGGAGCTGGAGTGGATTCCTAATTCATAGGAACATTTTCATCAGTTATCTCTCTTTGCCCATTCAATTATATAATACGGTTGAACTTCGGTATCTTCAACACAGATATCTCGAATACAATGGATATGTCAAAGTGATTGGAAAGTCCTAAGCCCTTTTTCTTTTAGTATTTTACCCTCAATATCTCAAACCCACAGATATCTAAAAGTTTTTTTCAGTCCCATTGAGTTTGAGATAATAAGGTTTGGCTGTATTTACATTGAGTGTAATTTTCTTTGTAAAATCCATTGGAAATCTGCAAAATTCAGTGTGACACATATGAAACCTTGTCACTGTGCGGTAGAATACACAGTAGGAACTATATATGCATTTTCTATACTCTAAATGTATATTATTTTCGCTCAATTTAATTACCAGTAAAAACAACTAACCCATTAAATAATCATGAAAATATAACCATTGTACATGTATTTTTAGCTCTTCTGAGCCAAAGGCTCAAAGAGCTAATGCTATGGCCATTTGTGCGGTGTGCGGTGTGCATAAACTTTTTAGAATATGGGCCATAACTCAAGAACCCCTTGGCCAATTATTGTCAAATTTGTCACAGGGTATCCTTGGCCCAAGGGCTCCCTTTTGTACTAAAACTGGGGTTGTGACCCTTTTACAAGGGGAGATAATTAGGAAAATAGAAACAAAAGTTCTGGTTGCTAAAAAATCTTCTTCTCAAGAACCACTGGGCAGATTATCACCAAACTTACACAAAAGGATGAGGATATGTTGTAGATTAAAATTTGCACGGGGATTTACCCTGGGGCAAAGGGCGTGGTCTCAAGGTCACTTCAAAGTTGACCAAAAATTACAATTTATTAAAATGTTGATATTTTGCTTACTATAAGGACTAGGATCATCAAATCTTGTCAGTTGGTGCATCTAAGGACCTCATATCATGTTGACTCAAAAGTAGGTCATGGTGACCTACTTTTTAAATTTTGCGGCCATTCTTTTTCAAAATGATTTAGAGGCATATTTTGAACAATTTAAGGCCTATGATCATCAAACTTTGTCAGTTGATGCATCTTGGGTCCTCAAAGTACGTCAACTAAAAAGTAGGTCACCTTGACCTACTTTTTGAATTTTATGGCTAATCTTTTTTAAAACAATTAAGGTCATTAATTCGAATATGGGGAGGCTTAGAATCATTAAATCTTGTAAGATGATGCATCTTGGGGCCAAAAAACATAATTATTAAAAAGTAGGTCACAGTGATCTACTTTTTGAACTTTGCAGGCATTCGATTTCAAAGCATTTTAGAGGCATAATTTGGACATTTTAAGTCCTATGATCATAAAACTTTGTAAGTTGATGCATCTTGGGTCCTCAAAAAAGGTCAACTGAAAAGTAGGTCACCGTGACCTACTTTTCAATTTATATGACTATAATTAAATATTTCAGGTACTAATTGGCTTAGAATCATCAAACTTTGTCAGTTGATGCATCTTGGGTCTTCGGAGAAGGTCGAATAAAAAGTAGGTCACAGTGACCTACTTTTGAAAATTTATGGCGTTAATTAAATATTTCGGGTACTAATTGGCTTAGAATCATCAAACTTTGTCAGTTGATGCATCTTGGGTCTTCAGAGTAGATCGACTAAAAAGTAGGTCACCGTGACCTACTTTTGAAAATTTATGGCTTTAATTAAATATTTCGGGTACTAATTGGCTTAGAATCATCAAACTTTGTCAGTTGATGCGTCATGAGTCTTCGGAGTAGGTTGACTAAAAAGTAGGTCACCGTGACCTACTTTCAGAAAATTTATGGCTTTAATAAAATATTTCGGGTACTAATTGGCTTAGAATCATAAAACTTTGTCAGTTTATGCGTCACGGGTCCTCGGAGTACAACAACTGAAAAGTAGGTCACGGTGACCTACTTTTGAAAATTTATGGCTTTAATCAAATATTTCGGGTACTAATTGGCTTAGAATCATTAAACTTTGTCAGTTGATGCATCTTGGGTCCTCGGAGTACAACAACTGAAAAGTAGGTCACTGTGACCTACTTTTGAAATTTTATGGCTGTATTTAATATTTTCAGGAATTATTTGGCTTAGAATCGTCAAAATTTGTCAGTTGATGCATCTTTGGTCCTCGGAGTAGGTTGACTGAAAAGTAGGTCACTGTGACCTACTTTTGAAAATTTATGGCTGTAATTAAATATTTTGGGTACTTATTGGCTAGAATCATCAATTTTTGTCAGTCGATGTATCTTTGGTCCTCGGAGTACAGCAACTGAAAATTAGGTCACGGTGACCTACTTTTGAAAATTTATGGCTTTAATTAAATATTACAGGTACTAATTGGCTTAGAATCATCAAACTTTGTCAGTTGATGCATCTTGGGTCCTTGGAGTAAAACAATTGAAAAGTAGGTCACTTTGACCTACTTATAAAATTTTATGATTATAATTTTAAAAAATATTTTAGGTATTAATTGGCTTAGAATCATCAAACTTAGTTGATGGGTCCTCAGAGAATGACAAGTGATAAGTAGGTCACCATGAGCAACTCTCAGGTACTAATTGGCCTAGAATCATCTTGGGTTCTCAGAGTGTGAATTGGAATTTCAAGGGTTTATGTAAATATACAGGATACTTCGAGGCTTCAAATAGAAGGGATAGGTTGTACAGTTTATCAGAAGAGCGATTCAAGGCCCATGGGCCTCTTGTTAAAATTAATTTGTCATTTTTTCCTCTCGCAATATTCATTTGCGTTATTTAACTTTTCACATCACAACGGCTCACTTCACGACACAAAGACTCTTACGTTTATCAAGCACACCTTTTCTGAAAGGCGTTAAATCCTTAAAAAAGAATAAGGAAGTTAACAATTATGAAGATAGAAATAAGAGGCAGTAAATATAAGCATTGAATTCTTAATTTTGGTCCTATTTTTCGGTCCCATAACAGCACCTGTCTGTTCCGACAAATTATCATACCGTGCTAACACATGGCATTCAATTTGTCGGCACGGCCAGGTGCTGTTATAGGACCGACGACATCCAAAAATAAGAATTCAATGCTTAATTGTAAACTATGAAAGCTTCAATAAGTCCCCTGTGATTAATTAATTTGTCAGGTGCAGAAAACCCATAGCCTCATCCTAAACATCTTCGCTAGACAAGGGTTTCTGATACGCTACTCTCCTCATAAACCCTTGGCATACGGTGTTAAAAAAAGTTGGGATTTTTTTCTCAAGTTGTGATTGGAGTTGATCGACATCGTTCGACCAATCATCAATTGTTTTTTGTAAATAACGATATTTGCGTTCGGAATATATCTTGACTCTTTAATATCGGGAATAAAAAACGCAAGTAAACAACGATCCATAAGATAACATGTCATTCTATGAATAGTTATATGGTGTCATCCAATATCTTAATCTACGTGCAAAATATGTGATTAAGAATCTATACTGAATATGTAGATTTGCATTTTAACATGTTTAAATAACAAGTTAACATAACTCATTACCTTCTAGTTAATTATTCTTTAAAAACATTATTTTTTTAAGTATGCTTTTTATTTCTGTCGATGACGCAATCTGTGCCTACCTGGTAAGAATCGTGAGCACGCGACGAAAACAATCCCGTCTTTTGTCAGCACCGTATGCCAAGGGTTTATGAGGAGAGTAGCGTATCAGAAACCCTTGGCTAGCGAAGATGCATCCTAAATTATGTTTCACATTAATGCCCTGTGTTCACATGGAGAGTTTAAATCTAACTGAAGATAATTTACTGCAAATTGATTTTAAACCACATTCATACAGAGAATTTAATGCAAATTATAAGACAAACTTGAGTTCATTTACTGTACAACAAATTACTTAGGGTAAACTCCTTGTAAACACTAAGCAAAGATAATTTGCATTAAATTTTGATGCATGCATGTTAGCAAAATTAAGCAACTTGCCCCATGTCAGTGGTCAGATATAAGTACTTATGCTATTTTTGTGTGAAAAACCAAAGAAAATTAAGATTATCATTAAAAATGTGGGCAGACCCTATGACATTATGTCAAATGTATTATCTGTTCTGCATATTAAGATGACATAATTTGCAAATGACATCATAGTAACATTAGTGTAGAAATAAAATTTTAATGCGCATTAGTTTGTCTGGCATTAACTGTCGTGTGAATACAATTTAATTTGCATTAGTTTAATTTACATTATTTTACTTTACATTGATTGACTGTGAATTAAATATTTAATGCTCATTCATGTGAACAGGGCATAATATAAATTAAACCTCGATCTGTCTGCAAATGATGTTTATTCAGAAGTTAAGGTCAAGCCTAGGTGATGTTTGCAACCATCGAAGGGTAATCATTTTTAAAGTGCAATGCTACAATCTGGTTCAAACTCGAATTTCTTGTAATATGATTTTATGGAATTGAAAAAATATATATATAATTAAAGATATCACATTTTTGTTGCTGCCTGATGTAAATTCAAGGACTCTATTAATATTTACAGTTAGTTGTATAAAAACCTCATTTTGTCATTGCTGAAATCCTTCATATTGTGGACTTAGAATAAAAATATTTGAGAGCAGATCAATGAATCCCCTTGCATTATTTAAATTATCTTGCCTGCTGCAGAAAATCCGGAGACTCATCTTTATCTCTTACAATTATGATTAATTATAACCTCTCTGGGTGATGTTTGCACTCGATCACTTTTTTTTTTTTTTTAGAAAAGCATATTTTATTTTGGTTCAAACATGCATTTAAATGAATTATTATTTATTAAATTAATTTATTATTTTCGTAAGATACTATATGTTTTTACTGATATGTTTTTTGAACCATATTTCACATTCTTTTTCATATATTTTACATTTCCTTTATTGTTTTCTCTTTATCAAATGATCATAAATTCATCCATTAAACTGCACCCTTACATGTATATCTATCTGTGAGGCCCCTTGCTGACTGGTCAGTTTTCTAGTTATATGTAGATATTGTATGTGTGCTCTTCAATGCAGAAAATGAATGCATGATGTAGCAATTGTTGACAGTTTCCTCAAGAAATATTTGTTTTTTAACTGTTTGACCAGGTTTCGATATATTGTTGCCTTCAGCAGTTGGTAAACTGAATTAGACATTCTTTTCTTTAAATTAATAAATGCATGTAAATATATGAATAAATAATTAAAAAAAAAATAACAATATGATATGACTAATACTCATATTTGAAAAAAAACCCTTTATTTCCCTTTTTGAATTTAAAGCCAGTCTTGAAATAAAATGTTTTTAGATTAAACTCATTGTTTAAAAATCTTTGGCATGGGTCAACTTAAAACCAACATTAAGTAACTCATGCTTTATCAAACTGTCAGCTTAGAGAGGCTAGAGTGGACTCAATACTATTACATGCTTTATATAGGGGCTGGTGTATTTGTGACAGCAGTGGTGGCAGGAACTATTGCCATTATCCACCCGTTCGATGCCATGCAGAGGCCGTTCCTCAGGGATATTGTGTTCTACCTGGCAGCTGTGTTCTGGACATTTGTTACTATGTGGGACAAAAAGATTACAAAGATAGAGGCAATAGGTATCAAATGCATTAGTTAGCAATATACATGTACATGTAATAATAAAAGTACATGTGTTTCCATTTGGAAGTAAACTGTTTTGAAAACTGGTAAAGCCTTCAAGTATATTTTATGACAAAATAACAATTGTTTAAGTTAACATACTTTAAATATGTACTTTTTATTTACAAGAACATTATTTTTTTTTTTGCATAATAAATTATGCAAGAGACCTTCCATTCACAAAAATTTTATTCTTGTGTATATTTTTATCATAATGATTATATATAACAATAATCATTTCATAAAATTTTTAGGTCACCTGAGTCACTCAGGTGACCTATTGCTATCCGTTCTTGTCCGTCGGCATGCGTCGTGTGTTCACATTTGAACATTTTTAGCTTCTTCTCTGAAACCACTTCACCAATTTCAACCAAATTTGGCATATAGCATCTGTGGGTGAAGGGGAACAAAAATTATGAATTTCATGTTCCCTGCCCCCCCTGGGGGCTGAGGAGTGGGGCTAAAACCACCAAAATAATGCAATCTTTAAAAATCTTCTTTACTCCTGAACATCAAGCAGTCAAACTGTTGGCATCATTGTAATAAGCATTGAGCCCTCTACCAAACTTGTGAAATTTATGGCCCCAGGGTCAGGGGTTCTGGTGTTGGGGCGGGGCTCTATTGATTATATAGTGAAAATGCATTAATTCTTTGAAAATCCTCTTCTCTGCTCCTGGGTATTATTTAAACAAACTAAGTGCATGGATATGATGCATAAGGATGCCTTTTCAAAAATTGTGAAATTCATGGCCCCAGGGTCAGGGGTTCTGGTGTTAGGGCGGGGCTCTATTGATTATATAGTGAAAATGCATTAATTCTTTGAAAATCTTCTTCTCTGCTCCTGGGTGTTAAATAAAGTAACTAAGAACATAGTTATGATGAGCAAGAGTGCCTCTTCCAAAATTGTGAAATTCATGGCCCCAGGGTCAGGGGTTCTGGTGTTAGGGTGGGGCTCATTTGATGATATAGTGAAAATGCATTAATTCTTTGAAAAACTTCCTCTCTGCTCCTGGGTATTAAATAAAGTAACTAAGTACATAGTTATGATGAGCAAGAGTGCCTCTTCCAAAATTGTGAAATTCATGGCCCCAGGCTCAGGGGTTCTGGTGCTAGGGTGGGGCTCTATAGATTATATTGTGAAAATACATTAATTCTTTGAAAATCTTCTTCTCTGCTCCTGGGTATTAAATAAAGTAACTAAGTACATAGTTATGATGAGCAAGAGTTCCTCTTCCAAAATTGTGAATTTCATGGCCCCAGGGTCAGGGGTTCTGGTGTAAGGGCGGGGCTCTATCGACTATATAGTTAAAATGCATTAATTCTTTGAAAATCTTCTCCTTTGCTCCTGGGCATTAAGCTGATAAACTAAGTACATAGTTATGATGAGGAGGTGGGCCTCTTCCAGAATTGTGAAAGCCATGGCCCCTGGGTCAGGGGTTCTGGTGTTAGGGCGGGGCTCTATTGATTATATAGTGAAAATGCATTAATTCTTTGAAAATCCTCTTCTCTGCTCCTGGGTATTATTTAAACAAACTAAGTGCATGGTTATGATGCATAAGGATGCCTTTTCAAAAATTGCGAATTTCATGGCCCCAGGGTCAGGGGTTTTGGTGTTAGCGCGGGGCTCTATAATTGATTATATAATGAAAATGCATTGATTCTTTGAAAATCTTCTTCTCTGTTACTGGAGATTATTTAAACAAACTAAGTGCATGATTATGATAGGCAAGGATGCCTCTTCCAAAATTTTTAAATATATGGCCTCAGTTTTTGGGGTTCTTGAGGAGGGGGGGGGGGGGGCTCTATTGATTATATAGTGAAAAAGCATTTACATTGTATTCTATTAATTAATCATTAATTAATCCTGTCTGCTCCTTAGTGTTGAGCTGATAAATAAATTGCTTAGATATGATGAAAATGGGAGCTTTGAACAGAATTTTTAAATCTTGTGGTCCTAGGGTCAGGGGTTCTGGCATAACCGGGGGGGGGGGGGGGGGGGGGGGGGGGGGCTTTTGATAATGTAGTGGAAAAGTGTTAATTCTTTGAAGTCCATAGTTATGATGATTAGGGTATCTCTTCCAAATCAGTAAATTTCTTGACCCTTGGTCTTGGGTTCTGGTGTTAGGGTAAGGCTTTGTTGAACCTGTAGTGAAAATGCATTGTACCTGTGAAATTCTTCTCTGCTTCTGGGCATATTGGAAGCAAACTGAGTTAAAGTTTAAATGATATAAGTAAGCATATTTCTACCAGATTTTTGAACATCTGGACCATTTGTCTAAGCATTCTGGTCCTGGACAGGGCTCTATTAATTTGTATTCTACTGAGAGAAGTTATTCCCCTTTTTCATTCACCTTTGATAATTAATCACTGTAAATGATGTATTTGAAAGGTTAATAGAATAAGATAATTAGGCAAGAATGTTTATCGTATAATTCAAAAAGTACTTTCCTAGTTTTAATAATCAGGTAGACCTGTAAGTAATAGATAAATAAAAATGAGACAAAAATAACTTATCTTATTAAAAGTTCTTCAAAGACCATAAGAGAGGTCAATGCTAGAGGTCTTAATATGGGTTTAAAAATAGTACAGAAGCACGAATAGTTTGTTTATAGTCTGCATGGTGATAGTGTTAAGTGGGGGACAGATTAGAACTTAATTTATGAGTTGATACTGAATACTAGACTAATTATTTTGTTGATCCTGATCTTCCTACTTCTCTTGCTTTAGGGCAACAAAGCTTCATCTATCAGTGTATTTAACTTATTATACTCAGGTGACTGTTAAGGCCCTTGGGCCTCTTGTTATCTTTGCTAATAAATACCAATGAAATAAATATCTCACAAAATC